ATTTGGTACGTTCAGTGTGGAAAAGCCTGTAGATCAAAGTTTTAGCTTGTGATATAGTTGAAAACTTTCACTGAGAGAATGCTAATGAATGTAGTGATAATGGGAAGATACACCTCATTAAGTATCATTGGCTCTAAGTAGGTTGAATTGTAACGAGCTTGACTTCAAAATCATCAATAAATTCACATCAGAAAGAAATTTTAGGAAGGCAGTTGTATCAAGTCCCTAAGACCACCCTCACATTTGATTATTCTCTAAAAGCAGTCACTAAACTCATAAAAGCTGCTATACTTACTGTTACAGTTTATGACAGTGAAGAGTTACAAATTAAAGTTAGCAAATGTAAAAGGTGCATGAGGCAGACTTTAGGAGAAACCAGGTGCATCCAGTTGTCCTCCCAGTGGAGTTGTATGGACAATGCTTAATTCTTCCAGCAATGACCTGATAACACATATGGCATAGTGCCAACCAGAGAAACTCACCTGAACCTTAGTGCCAGGGGGTGGGAAAGGCAGTAAGGGGGTTAGTTATGGAGGCATGGAGAAACGACATGACTGACCTTAACTTCTCAAACTCCAGCCTCCTAAGGATCAAACTGATACAGAATGGCCCAGAGCCCCAGGCAAACAAAAGCAGGTGTTCACCAAAAATCATATTGCTAATGTAAACTATATGGCATGGCTGAAACCCCAGGTATACAGAGATGCTCTTGGCAGGCAGGATATTCCAAGGGCTTAGAGGTTCCTTCTCAGGTGCCAGTCAAGGGTAATTCCTTTCATTGGAACGTGCAGGGTCTGAACACCCCAAACTTGCCGAGTCAGCCCCTAATTTGCACAGCAGTGAATAGTTCAAGGTTTTCAGTAACATGGTTCCTCATCCTGTGTCAGAAATAAGGAATGTCTATGGATACACCAAATGTGTTGAACCTTTAGCAGAATGGCAGAGATCTCACAAAGGAGATAAGCTCGTGATTGCAATGGATATTTGGAAACTTGTTGACGTAAGTCTACCCTCATTTTGCATCAGATTAACACCCTTAATGTGGTTTGTTTGTTTGTTTGTTTGTTTTTCGGTACACGGGCCTCTCACTGTTGTGGCCTCTCCATTGCGGAGCACAGGCTCCGGACGCGCAGGTTCAGCGGCCATGGCTCACGGGCCCAGCCGCTCCGCGGCATGTGGGATCTTCCCGGACCAGGGCACGAACCCGTGTCCCCTGCATCGGCAGGCGGACTCTCAACCACTGCGCTACCAGGGAAGCCCCCTTAATGTGTATTTTGATAGAGAATGTCTTGAACTCTCTCATTGCTAGGGAATGACGCCATAACTCATTTGAAGATGGTTTATAGTCCATGTCACATTGTACCTATTATATCTAAATCTTCTATCATCTTTGCCATATTCTTTTAGAAGCAAGTTTCTAGACCAGCCCACACTCAAGGGGAGAGTTGAGAATCTTTGAGGGCCTTCTTAGAGCCAGCCTACCAGAATAATGACTTTCAGGGAAAAAGACATTCTTTGCCGAGAGTTGCCATTGTTTCCTGCTTAAACAGTGCTTGAACAGAAGCTGGCGCTCGCCACCCCACCCCTTCAACCTGGCGGTGCAGAGCCAGCCTTCTGCTTCCTCCTCACAGCACCCTTGGACCACTCCCAAGGCGAGTAGGAGTAGTGTGACTGCTGTGACTACCACGTGCCCCTCACAGGTGCCCCAGCACTACTACTAGGACTTGGAGGCCACAAATAACTGCCAGATCCACCTGGAGCCTCTGACGTTTACCTGTCCGTGTCTCACTACTTTGATGGCCATGATGTGGCTTTGGAGAACTTTGCCAGTTGTTCTCGTCACCACTCTCGTGAGGGGAGGGGACATGCTGAGAAGCTGATGAAGATGCAGAACCTTCTAGGTGGCCGAATCTTTGGTGTATCCTGAAACCAGAAAAGGTTGACTCGGAGAGTGGGCTCAAGGCAAGGCATGTGTGTTCCACTCAGAAAAAGGCACGAATCAGTCACTACTGGAACTGCACAAATTGCCTACTGCGAAAAATGACCCCTACTTGTGTGACAACCTGAATGAGCAGGTGAAATACATCAGAGAATTGGGTGACCGCATAACCCACTTGTGCATGATGAGGGCCCCCGAATCTGGCACAGCAGAGTGTCTCTGACAGGCTCACCCTGATGATGAGAGCTAAGCATCAGGCTGGCTTCCCAGTGGCCCTGGGGGTGACTTCCCTGGTTACCATGACAATGCATCCATTTTGGGTTTTCCTTTACCTTTTCTGTAAGTTGTACTAAAGCATCCACTTAAGTTTTTTTCATTTGTACTATTCCTTCAAATTTGGTACCCAGATTAAAAAAAAATGACAGACTCATAAAGACCCCAGGTTATACTAGGATTCCAGTGCCATTGAGAATACCCAGTCTCATGGTAAGAGGGCCCTTGGTTGATAAGAAAATCTCACAAATGTCACCCTGTTTTTTACGTAGGAGTGATTTAGCTAGAAGTCACTGCTCCTCAGTCATTCACTTGAAACTTTGTGCTGGCTTGAAGAGGACAAATGACTGACAGGTGCAAGGAATTAGGAGCCTGGAGGATGGACCCCCCCACCCCCGGTCCCCTGCTCCCCCGCCATGGAACTCTTCCTCCACTCTCTGAGGAGAGCACATGGCTGGCTGATGCTAGAATGCCTGAGGGCATGGGATGAAGATGATTCTAAGACTGTGGTCGAAAACTGAAAACAGCAACCAACTGTTTCCTCTGCAGCAAGAAGAGAAAGCGAACAGGAAAAAGCAAGTGCCATCTCCATTTTCCTTCTGCCTCCCCATTCTCTCTCGTGGCCCACGTTGGCAGAACTTAACGTGAAACTGGCAAAAGAGAATCTGCTTTGCGCTATCACAAAGCAGACAGTGGAAGAGTAGTTTGAGAGGTGAGACCCGATAGCTAAATAATCAGGCGAGCAACCTATTTCAATTGAGATTAGCTGTGGTGCGTGCCCCTGGCCCCTGCAATTTACAAATCTGACAGTCCACTTATAGACAAGTGCGGATTGAAAATATATTTGTGAATAAAATGATACTTATTTAAACAGTCCTTGAATATTTGCTCTGTATAAGACAACCTGTTAGTAAAGTTACTAGTCATTATTTGTGTGTGTGTGTGTGTGTGTGTGTGAGGGGGGTTCGTTAGTAACTTTGATGGGATTTATGACCCAAAACACCAGTATGGTTTATGCCCCTAAAATCTATAACCTGTTTTGTATGTTTTGTACATTTTTTTTATATTCTTATTTTAGGGACAAATACAGTCTGAAATCATGTAAAGAGGGGAAAGGGAAGATCCTTTAAGGTGCTGGAATTACTGATTATTGATATGGAAAAAGATGAAATTAGATCCCTGCCTCACATTATATATCAAGATCCATTCTCAATAGATCAAAGACCTAAATTTGAAGGGTAATATTTAAAGAACACAATCTGGGGGAGATAGTTGGATTCTGATCATTTCAAAAGCCCTCTTTCCACTGGCTTCCAACCATGACATCCTCATACTCCCAAGAATTGACTCTTGGAATTGCACCAGTCATGGACCACGAGGACCTTCCCATCACTGGCCTCTACAGATTATTCTTGATTGACCCCCCCCCCCCCC